ATATTTTTTGTGAGAATTCGGAGGTCTCGTTTTTTGTACATTCGGAGGTCTTGCTCAATTCTTTTAGTTGTCATCCGTGTTTCTGATGCATACAGGACTGGGCGGTTCTGTATTTATTAGTGTTTATGTGATAAGTGTTATGCGAGAGGTGAATTCCTTTCGAAAGGCAAAGTAACACTTGTTAGCCATCAATATTCATTTCTTGACCTCGACTTCGGGTGCATTGTCTTCTGTTACCAGTAACTCCAAATACTTGAACTAAACTACTTTCTCAAAGTTATAGGGGCCAATATCAATGGTCTCGCCTGGTCGAGGGACTTCTCCTGTGGCCATATATTTAGTTTTGCCTTCATTCACTTCTAACCCAAGTGCTCTGGCGGCCCCCAACAAACTAAAAATCCCTCTCCAACAGACTGCAACAACCACCACACGATGCCTACATCATCTGCATAGGCTAATAGCTGAACCATCCAATTGTAAATAGTCCCATTAGTTTGCAGACCAGAATTCCTCACTGCAGCCTGTACAGATGGTGGTCAAAGGACAGAAGGACACCTCTCATGGTCAGCTTTACCAGTCTTATTAGCTTATTTGGGATATTGAACCCTTCAAGTGCATTGTACAGTTCTTCCGAGTTAATGCTATCATAAGCTGCATTAAAGTCAATGAAAAGATGGTGGGTTTTAATCTGATGATCGTTTCCTCTCTCTAGGATTGTTTTAAGGCAGAATATTTGGTCTGTCTATATATTAAAAAGTGTTGATAATATTGCCTATACATTCATTGGTTTACAGCAATTAATGAAAAATAACAGAAAAGACAAGAATATATTATAAAAACATGCATAAGGATAGCATATGATAACATTCAAACAAAAACAACCTATAATAAAATATTTATACCCATCAATATTTGCCAAACTAATACAGAACAGACAAATCCTTGTTGGAAATTGAGAAAATTTAGACAGATGGAAGTAAGCAAGTATGTAACATGAACTACCCATTTATGGGAGGGAGGAATGAAAAATTAATTACATTAGGCAGAACTTCTTGTTTAATCAAGCAGAACACTGGCAATATTATAATCTAGGGACTACATTTAACAACACAGACCACAAAACCTACAGCTATCATTTAAGGTAATAAGAAAATAGTGATCTACTCTATAAAATACAAGATCCATTTATATACGCTTATCATCCACTGTATGCAATGGAAATTGTGGCATTAAAGTAAGTTAAACACATTAGCTGCTAAGCATGATACCTCTTAAATATCTTTCCCGACAATATCGGTCCCTGGCAACCGACACTAGATAGGAAGTTCTTAAGGGCATCAGACATTTGAGATATACATCAGTTTTGAGGTATACCGCTATTTTTTGACAACAAAGGTGAACTAAATTCCCTATTCAATGTCTCTATCTGTTGATTGGGTCCTCATTAATGGCCAGCAATCGTAGGGGTGGACTCTGACATCCTATGCCATTTATATGATGAGTTTTATATTATTTCTCTTTATTTCAGTAAAAAAGTGTTATTTTTAGGGATATAAATCTTACGTATTGAAAATGAAATGAGAAAAAGTTTATTTATTACATATAATTATACTTTTCATGATATAATTTAGATATTATTTTTGTAATACTTTTTCAATGTCGAGATAAAAATGGAATATAAAAAATATCTATAGTTATATAGTAAGTACCACATTGTAGTAATGCAAGAAAAATGTAGATATTTGGCTATTCGCTAATACATTTGAATTTATTTTAAGAAAAGGAAAAATAAAAGTAAAGTATTAAGTTGCACTACTGATTAAAGTGTGGCAAACAGAATCTGGGCATACCACGACATTCCTCACAGAAACTGGTGGCTTTCGATGTTTTCTTATTTGCCTCCTTATTTCCTAGGATCTTAGGGTCCTAGAGTCTACCATGAATTACAAAACATTAAGGTGAAAACTAGAGTTTTCTATGATCATCTGTTAAAAAGTAATTAATTTTCAAAGTTGCAATGTCAGGCTTTTAAGAACTATTGACAGCTGAGGTTGGTATGATGTCACTCCTTCCAGAGCTTTGTTTACATTCTATCTAGTATTCTTCAACAGTGTTGTAAATCATCTTTTTTTTAATAATTTTAATGATTTGTGCAATTATTTTTCACAATCATTAGTGCTAAGTAGGACGTGGATCTGAATATCTTAATAAAAGATCTTAAATCTTTTATTAAGAAATTAAAGGACTAGTCAGTAGTATTTGTAGAGTATAATCATAGTTAAACATAAATAAACATGGCAAAACTGAATAGAGACATTAAATAATAATATTTACAAAAACTAAAGTTTTAAGAATTAACATTACTTAACAAAAATATTCATATGTTTGTCATAAATAATATTTGCTAAATTTCTTGAAAATATTGCAGAATTTAGCCAAATTCTAATAAATGTAAATTATTTCTGAAGTCAATTGTAACATTGTTAAAGTCTTTTTTGTTAAAAATAAAAGAACAATAGAATTTTTCATTTTAATTTACTTATTTATTAAAAATGGTAGGTCAAAAAACCATCCCATACTGTGTTGTCGGAGATTCAGTAATGGGAAGGATCTTCTTTCATTTTATTCCAGAACCTCTACAGAAATACATGCTGATTAGGATTTTCATTAGATAAAGTATGGGTAGTTGGTAGGGGTAGAAAAAAAAAATCAAAACAAGCCCACCTGCAGAACTGGGTAATCCACCCACCATATGACTACCAGTAAATACTTAACATAACTATGTAAAAAGTTTAAAAGGTGGAAGCAAAACCTGCCTGCCTGGTATAACCTAAAACCTGCAGGTAGTATAACATAAAGGTAGTAATTTTCTGGGCATACCTCTTAGATCTTTTATGTTATTAAATTATATAACAACCTTCTTATCATAGATCAATAAACATTAGAGCCTATTAATTGTTAATATAAAAATACACGAGAATTCAATTTTTTAGGGACATTTGTGGTGCAGCAAGCTTCCTTTTTGGAAATGAGGATTCTGAGCTTTAAGAAAGCCGCAGGCATCTGCCTGCCATCATGCGATTGAGTAACGACTACATGCATTTATCATGAAGACATATGTTTCAAATGACCATTTAACGATTTTAACCCAACAAACTTTCAAAAATAGCTGGAATATTATGCCATTGGGTCCTGTCCTGGACCAGAAATTTATTCTTTTGTGGGCCACACCGTTCAGAGAAACTGGTTTCTTTGGAGAAAAAAGAAGTTAAGATACATATCCCTACAGATCAATGAAGCAGTAAGGGTGTCGTTTTTTTAATGCATGCGTCCTACAGCACGCTAACATGTGCTTGCCCTTGGAATTTCCAATAGTTTCTTAAGGTGAATACTGCATGATGAACTTCATTTCAATTTGTACAAATTGGCAATTGTGCAGGAACTATCTGAACATGACTTCAGTGATAGAAAAAATGTGTGAAGCACTCTTAAACATGTCCCTCTAGATGAACTTGTGTTTTTCAGGGATGAGACTCATTTTCACTCGACTGGATGTGTCAATAAGCAAAATATGTGCTACTGGGCTGCTGAATAGCCCCCAAGAAGTCCATCAGAGGTCTTTGCATTCATCATATGTCACTGTTCAGTGCACAATTTCATCAGTGGAGATTATGAGCCCCTGTTTTTTCGAAAAAAATGAGCAAACTATCGTTATGTGAGAACTTACTGGAGGACTTTTTATTGACAAGAATCGATGAAAAGGACTAGGGAACATATGGTTTCAGCAGGACAGAACAATAGCCCATGCTTCAAGGGTACAGAGTGGCTGTGTTGAGAAATCACTTCCCAGGTCATCTCATCTCATTTGGAGTGGCCAGCAGGTTCACCTGATATGACTCCTCATGACTTCTTGTGTGGGTATTTAGCTAACATGCACATCAATCTATTGGAGAAAGTTATGAAAAAGAATAGAATTCGGTTTAACCAGTGTATCGACAATGAGAGTCACTTACCCAATATGATTTTTAAAAAACTGCAAACCTCAATTTTAAATAAATAACTTTTCTAAAAATAAAATTAAAAAGATATCTTTACTGCTTTTAGTTTTATTTTAATAAGAAATAAATAAGTTAGCTAGCCGCACCCTGTAGAATATGAAGGAAGATATTTTTTTAAAAAGAAACAGGAACTTCATAACAATAAAAATATCTACGCAATTATTTAACAACTCATGAATGAACCATAACCATACTAAATAATGTGAAACTGCTTGTAGGATATTACTGTTAGTAACTGTTGTTGACAATTATTAAAAATTTAAGATGTTTTACATTGATCTTAGCAACTCAGACAGCCAAAATAGAGTGGCAATGAAAATATAACGACAGGGGAACAAAATAATTTAAAGATCAAAAAAAATTAGAATCTTCATCAGAAGTACAAGAAACCAGGATAGTTGAGGAGTAGAACTTCTGCACAATGGCATCAGATCATAAGAAGAGTACGACAGAACAATAAGAAACACCATGTGTAGGATACCTACTTTATCTCCCAATGTTCCTGGTCTTCTGTAATTAAACCAAAACCTTCGAGCAGCTCTTTCATTAAAAGATTCTTTCTCCTAGTGGATCTTAAAAAAATGTTACAGAGGACAGCTTCTATCTTTGAATTTATGGGTTATAATTATTTTTACTTCAATATACGGGAGTGTGATTTATCTCTACAATGATCTGTAACATAAATAATAGTATCTTCAAATTTTTCAAATATAATCGTTACAATTGTTACATACATTTTTTTTCTCCCTATCAACATAATCAACCATTGTTAAAATCTACTTAGGTGGAAGAACTTTTGTCAAGATTTATTATGAAATTAATACTAGATCAGATTATAAAACTAGTATTCTGTTTAATATTGTCAGAAAAAAAAAAAAAGAGGATTCAACCATAACATGATAAAAAAACAAACTTATAAACCTAAAATAAATTTAACACTACCTGAAAAAAAATGTACAGCCCAAATAATGCTGCACTGGCAATAAGTGGAAACATAGCAGCATCAGCTTGAGTCATTGTTTCAGGCTTTTCTGTGAGAGACTGTAACAATAAGAATATTACACTGATGTGAATATTTAAGAATCTAAAAACAATATAAAGTGTTAATACTAGAATAATTGAAAATTAATTCAAACCTTGTATTACTGCTTTTAAAAAAATAATAAAAAATATAACATTTCTTTTTTTTTTTTTTTTTTTGTTACAAAAGTCAAACTTATGACATCCCAAGTGATTGTTATACCAACCTTTTACTTTTTAGTACTACTATTTTAAGAGTTCACAGCTAGTCTGAAATAATAAAATCACTTATCATTTATATTGTATATTACCTATAAATTAAAATAAAATCTAATAACAAGTAAGTTAATTTAGAAACAAAATAGAGCCACTGTCCACATTTGTCTTGGCATGTTTTAAATTAAATATTGTAATTTATTCTTTCTGTTTTCATTTCATTTCTTTCCTACCCTTATCCATTACTTCATGATGCAATATTATCTATTATATTTCATAGGAGTTATTACTCATTTTATTTTTTTATTTAATCTTCTGATATATCTATAATACTTGATATTCCATTTCATTTCATTGATTATTACTTTTTGATTTCATTAGGTACATTAACAATTATGTTTGATACTGGACAAAAAAATAAGGTGAGTAATCACTTATTTACAGCACAAGAGTAAACAGTGTAAATAGACCTTAGGTTAGTTAGATAACGGTCAGCCATATACATCGTTAATCCCACTAGTGGGCTAGAGCCCTCCGTCGGAGGCAGATCTGTGCTCTCCAAGCGCGTGTCTATATTTTCGTGTTCAATAAAAATTTTTTTTTCCTCGCTTCACTTTTATCAATTTTTCTTTTAAAAATTAATATGAAATGCGATATTATCACATGCTAATGTCGAGTAAGGGCAAAAAGACTAGGTCCAGGAGCCTCGATACTACAATGAGTTCTCCCATTAAAAAAAAAGACAAGGCATTCGAAAAGAAACACTCCACCAGCCACACCAAGGAGCTCCATAGATGAAGTGGAACCCCAACCTGGCTCCTCACAACAACCCAACAATTATGAGACAACTCAAGCTATGGGTGAAGAATCGCCGCTTTTCACTTCGAATCCATTTCAAGTGCTTTCAAATACACATAACGAACAAATGGAAGCAGCATCCACCCCCAGAGAACCCAAATCCCCACCAATATTTGTTAGAAATATTAAAAAATTTCAATTGATGTGTCATCAATTGAATAATCTAGTAGGTTCAGGAAAATATTTATGCCAAAGCCACACCAATGACACTAAGTTAATGCCCGACACTCCAGAAACTTATAGAAAAATTATAAAATATTTATCTGACACCAAGGCTGATTACCACACGTATCAACTGCGTCAAGAGAGGACGCTCAGGGTCATTATCAGAAGACTACACCCATCTACGCCACGCCAACAGACGCTATAAAAGAAGAGCTCATGGGTATGGGATTCCATGTACGCCAGATAGTGAACATATTCGAGGATAGAGAACAGCCTGGAATAAAAAATAAAATAAGTCTTCCACTATTCTTCGTTGACCTTGACGGAACACCCGATGTCGAAAACATCTACAAGGTCACACGCCTTTATTATACAAGCGTTGTTGTAGAAAAGCTCTACAGCAAGCACGACATCATTCAATGCTATAACTGCCAGGCTTATGGCCATACGAAACGTTATTGTCATCACATTCCTTCATGTCACACAGTCATCACATGTGCTTTATGCCACCAAGGACACCCAGCCAACTACAAGGGTTATCAAACATACAAAGATTTAAAAACACGAATGTACGCAACGCACAGAAAAGAAGGGACATCCAGGCCACCAAGACAATCCTCTAGAACATTGAACGGAAGAGTGTCCTATGCTCAGATGTTCAAAGGAGACACTGTAAACACTCAATCTCAGGCCCTGCAACAAGAATCTAAACCTCAAGAATTCACACATCAACCTCAAGACCCATATCCCTCCATCCCTGACCGTAGGTTAAATAACCATACATTCATTCCTCCTCCTTCCAATTCCACTGACCTCACAAACCTACTGACATCTTTCCTTTCCGAATTTAGATCCTTCATTACCCCTCTTATTTCGCTACTTACCAATGTTATATCCAACCTCATTCCACTGCCAAGAAATCCATAAATGTCCTCAACCAAATTCCTCTCCATTCTCCTTTGGAATGCGAATGGTATTCGGAACCACATCAACGAACTGATAATCTTATTACATGACAAAAACATTAACATAGCACTAATAACTGAAACTCGACTAACCAACAAACGACAAATCAACATCCCCGGCTACAATATTTATCGAACCGACCATCCTGATGGAACAGCACATGGTGGCACTGCCATAATTATACATCGATCCGTTTCCCTTACCAAGCCATAATTTCCTACAATCCATAGCCGTAATAATCCAAACACCCCTTTACCCAATAACACTAGTTGCGGCATATTCCCCGCCTAAAACACCCATTTCCAAATCCCAAATAATTTCCTTCCTGAATTCCTTAGGACACCATTTCCTCCTAGGTGCAGATCTAAATGCAAAACACCAGCAATGGGGAGCCAGATCCACAAATTTCCAAGGGCGAACATTGCTATCTGCACTTAATTCCCATCGCAGCAACATCCTTTCACCTAATACACCCACATACTGGCCAACAGATCCCAACCGCAATCCCGACCTAGACTTTTTCCTCCACAAAGGTCTAGGATCACTACACTGTTCTATTTCAAGGTTTGATGATCTTTCCTCAGACCATAGTCCTCTAGTCCTAACCGTTTCCACATCTCCCATTCCCAAATCATCACCACCTTCATTTATCAGGGGGCCAGTTAACTGGAACCTTTTCCGTCAAATACTGGAAGATAATATAGACCTCAGAGTTTCCTTAAAAACACCTGAACACCTCGACAATGCACTGCATCCTCACCTGATCGTCCCAAAAAATACCATAAAATAAATCCTTTACCTCAAGACCTACTGGACCTAATCCATAGCAAACGTTGCTCTAGGACCCTTTGGCAAAGAACCAGGCATCCTGATGACTGGAAATCGTATAATTATTATTCCAAACAGGTAAAAAAGAAACTGGATACCTTTAGAACCCAATCCTACAATTCCTACCTCTCCTCATTATCCGCTATTGATAACTCCCTCTGGAATATAACCAAAAAAAATCCTTAAATTCCAGTCCATTTCCCATCCACTTCGCCGTGATGATGGTTCCTGGGCTTCGTCAGATGCGAATAGAGCAGAAGAGTTTGCTAACATCTATCCTACACATTCACCCCTCATCCCGAACTCCATCCCAGCCACACTGCTGAAGTTGAAGAATTCATCACTTCACCAATTCCTCTCTCTCTACCACCATAACCTGTTAACCCCTATGAGGTCAAATTCCTTATAAACAAATTAAAACTCCGAAAATCCCCTGGATATGATCTCCTCACTTCACAAATCCTCAGACAACTTCCCAAAAAAGCAATCATATTCCTTACCTATCTATACAACTGCATCCTTCGTACAACCAACTTTTCTTTAGTGTGGAAACATTCCATAATCATCCTGTTTCCAAAACCAGGTAAACCTGTTAATAACACATCATCCTATAGACCGATAAGCTTACTCCCGATCCTCTCAAAAATCTTTGAGAAAATCCTTCGACGATATGGCCAGCTGTATAGATTACTAAGTAGGACATCACATCTTTCGATTGAAAATAAACTTTTAATCTACAAGACCATACTGAAACCTATCTGGAACTACGGACTTGAACTGTGGGGAACTGCTAAACATTCGAATATCAAACGCATCCAATCCTTCCAGTCCAAAGTACTTAGAACAATAGTCAATGCCCCATATTATGTCACAAATAAGACCCTACCCCATGACCTTAACATCCCATTTGTCCTCGACATCATCCCATCCAGATTCTCAAACTTTCACCAGAACCTTATCCATCAACCAAATCCTCTAGCTCAATCTCTATCCAGCTCCCTTCAATCCTCCACGAAGGTTAAAACAGCAGTGGCCCAGAGATCTCTTGTAAATATGCTTCTGGAGTCCTGGCAATGGCCAGCTTCTCCACTCATGTCCAGAGCGTCTGTGGCTCTAGTGCCCTCTTTCAGTCTCCACTGGCTTCTAATACTAGTGATGCGGCTGGAAAAGTGGCAATGGGATCTCCTGTAGTCTTGCTTTGCTTTCCACATGTGGGGGAAAAAGCCTGGCTCGGAGATTCCTGGGCGAATGTATATATTGTATATAGGTATGATTGTGTTTAGAAGTTCCTATTTTAAGTTATTGTTTACTTTTTTTTTCTTTTATTTACTTTCTTCATCAGTATTATTTATTTACTTTTTATATTTATATCTATTTCTCTATTATTTGTATATATTGTTTGAATGAGAACTCTTAGCCCTAATACTTATAGCCCTCCAGCAATGGCTGATTGTATTATTATTCAATAAATAGATTTAAAAAAAAAAAAAAATCATTAGGTTGTTTTATCACTTTGTTACCTACACTTAATAACTTCTGTAGATTATATACCTTATATATATATATATAGAAATTACCTATATATAGAAAATACCTTATATATATATATATATATATATATATATATATAAATATATATATATATGATATATTTTCTATTCATAATAATTAATTTTATTTTTAATTACATACGTATACTAGTCTGACTATTTTTACAAATACTTGTCGAATTATTTATTCACTACCTACACAAAGTAACTAATCTAATTTACCTAATATTTTCATGTATTATCACAGTCTATTAGTTATCCTATGATACTATTTTTTTTTTAAATCTACTACAGATCATTTTTCACATATATTCTTATACCTTGCCATTATATATAGTACTTATTTTCTTTTCTTTATCTTACACAATGTAATTTTTACTCACTTCTTTGTATTTGTTTATTAGTAGATTATGTACCATAATACATGATACTTATTTT